TTGATGGTCGATCCGACGAATGTCAATTTTTTTTATTACTTAAATCCTGTGTAAGTTTCTGAACTATATTCTAAACAGTTTTGAATGTGAGTGGAGATATGCTTGTATGTGTACATCTTCTCTCTTTTCCTACAGCCAGGATCTTATACCTATATCCGAACCCGAACCCGAACCCGAACCCGAACCCGAAACTGCAAACACAGCCACACGTACATTCTCTGCGGTAGCATACCACAAAAACTGCTAGACATTTTCTGTTCTTTATATTCTTTTTCTTTCTTTTAAGAAAAAAATTCATATGAAGATATATTGCATAGTTTTTGTTTACTGGTAGACAAAGAAGAATTACAATGATCCATGTTTTTTTTTTCAGTGATCAAAACCATGAGTTCTATAAACTCAATAACACTCATATGAGGAATGAAAATCATCCAGTATCACTATTAGTTTTAATGTTCTACACAATCAATGCTGGTTAAACTAACAGTGCTGGTATAGGTATGAATTGATCTTCTCTCTAAGCATATCTACATTCATGTCATCATCTTCACTCACACCTACACCCCACCCAAGATATTGAACTTTTATACATTCATATATAAAGATACAATAAAATTGAAATTCGCTCATACTTATATATGTATATGAACATTTTTATCTGTAATTGTATGAATCATTAAATGTCACTTACTAAACGTTATGTTCAAACAATTAGTAGCGATGGAAAATCATAGATTGATATCTATGAATAAAACAACGCGAACTGTTTAACTAGCATAAGAAAAATAATAGATTAGATAACACAAAAAACGATTATTCATATTAAAACAATATACTGATTCACTGGTTCAATATACGGAAGTGGTTCGTTTAAAACTGTATCATTTCGAAAGTTCTAAAATTGGTGTTAATGATTATTTAATAACACCCCGATGAAGTAACGTTAATAACTTCATTACTCAAAGAAAAAATCACACTACGATAAATACGATAATTATTTATTGTTAAAAAAATGTTTATTATATATATCTTGTTCGAATAAGTTAAAACGAGAATGTTGAATCATTCACTTTATGTTCACGAGTTTATGCAAAAGATCCCTCACGATTAAATAAAACTCGAGTTTATCTCGAAAAAGCACTTGTGTTTGTTGCAAAATAGACATTGTATTATGGTTAATATTTTCTTTTCACACACTCAAAGTTGGATGCTACCATAGATTATCATTATCTGAAAAAGTGTTACCCTTTTAGTTGATGTTTGCTTTCTTATCTGATATTTTATGTACTTTCGACTTTGTGTTGATGTGCTGTGCTAGAGATATATTTATCTGGGTTAAAGATGTTGCACGTCTAGTTATGAATCAACTAAATCTTTCATACTTGTTTTTTAGTAACACAGGTACACAGCCAACAACAAAAAATACGTTTAAACACTTTTGCCAAGCGTTGAAAGCCTTTTAATGTGTTTATCGACGAAGTTTTTACATTGAATGCCTTTGGACAGTTTATCTTCCAAAACGCTGACCAAAATCGTTTAAAATATCCTAAACTCGTTTTTTGTTGAAAAAACGTTTCAACAATATTTTTTCGCTTTGCTGTAATTGTATGAAACGAGTTGTAATTCAAAAAATTATATTATTTTTGCGTTCTCAGTGAGTAGTACGATTATCACATACTACTTTCCAGCCGTGTGTAGTTATCACTTCTCACTGGTTACTAGCCAACAATAATTGGCCATTTTAAATATTCTACAGTACTTATACATGATTGAATATATTTAAATCACGTAACAACAACTAGTAAATAATCGATTTGACTATTTTCAAAGAAGTAGTAAATATTGGCATTTACCGCTTTTTAGTAATATATAACTGATAATTGTAATGCATATGTGTTACTAATGAAAAGTAAAGATTAACTACATTACTCATTGTTACTGATAAGGAATTTCAACCGAAGACAGTAGATTCTACTACTACTAATTGAAGTTAAAATAATCAGAAACGTAGCAACTAATCATGCGTTTAGCTGTATGCACTGAGTATCCTCTCATCAATGTTTCTATGATACAGTGGATGGTTAAAACAGATTTAATTTTTTGCTAATATGTGACAAGAGTGGACAGCAAGCTGTTCTCTTATTTGCTGTACTCATACTATCACTAACTGATATTCTGAATAAATAAAGAATTACAACGGGTCTTATATTGAATAGATTGCAATAATCAGACTATCGGTAATAGATATTATATTAACTTTTCAAAGCGCTTTACACTATCATATTGTTCAATGTCAATTGATTTTACTGCACGTTTCAGAAAATCCACCGTATTTTTTTTGCGTACTGCGCATTACATTAGCAAGCAAATGGATAAAAGTGACGCTCAATTCTTTATATGGTAAGCAGAAACTATCACCAATAGCACACTATGTTAAAACATCATATTTCTTGTACAGATTATTTGTCGTCGCGTAAATAATACAATGTCACAAGTCTTTTCATTTTCAGTCTTTTGAAAATAAAAATATGATATGTATGGGTAACTTGCGTGACTAAAGAAGAGAATTAAGTTATTTTTTTTTGTTACTGCTCATAATTATGTGAGTGTATGAAGATAAAAAGATCATTCAGATTTCTCTCCCTATCCCATATCTACATATACAATCATACCCTCAAACACGATTTACATGGAACATAATCCTGTTTTGACAACTCTTCACTAAAAATCGGATATTGTGAAAAATGAAAAATCACTAA